TCTCTCCTCCAGTCCCGCCCGGAGACCCGGTGGTGGAGGGGACCCCGGAGCTGCTGCTGATGGCCGGGAACCCGTTCAACCTGACCTGTGTGACCCGGGGGGCCAAGCCTGCAGCGCACATCCAGTGGACCAAGGATGGAGCGGCAGTGGAGGGGGCCGTCCAGTCCACGGTGACTCACACACACCCTACACACACGGTCATGCAACATAAAACCCACATAAAGAGTTTATTACTGTCCACTAAAATTAGATCTGCATAATCTCAAAAGGCTACTATAGTGGAAAAGTGTTTGTAAAAGTCTAGTATCTGCAGCCTCAGTAACTGCACTCTCAGTCTGCTTGTTTGTTTGTTTAGAGGCTTGTTGCCGTGGGCGATGCAAAGGGGAATTACAGTTTGTACACCTCAGGCCTCACATCGCCCCGCGGTGCAAAGTCAGCACAAGACTTTCATGCTTCTTGGTTGACAAAATGATAGCATCTCTACAGATGGAGACCATATTTATTATTTAATGCTTTTTTAAATGCTTATAAATTGCATATTCTGACCTGATGACCAGTTGCCCGCAGCATTTTGCGCCTTGATTCCTGTAAGGGATTAAGTGATCTGGAGATAACTCAGTATTTACCTTAAATAGTGTCAATGAAAGTGTGTAAACATCACTGAAATGCATCACTGGTATATATTTACCATATCACATTAACTATAAGTAATGTCTTACTCTGAGAAAGCTGGTAAAACAGGAAACAGGTAGACAAAATAATTAAAAACCAAAGTACTTCACGTGTAGTGAAAATAAACAGCGTTATTGGATGAGATAAATTAAACCGATATTTAACACATTTTGCAGCCCCTCATTTCCCTGAAAGGGTTCATCCAAAGGATAAAACCTCAATACACAAAGCCGACACTCAGCAAGTTGTATTTTGAGACATACATGTTATATTTATTTAAAAACAAAAGCGTGACATGAGAATATCAAACCTCTCCCTTCTCATATCATTTATCAAATCAGTTTATTTTTTGTGCTGCAAACTCACTGAATATGTATGAGTTGTATAACATTTCAGATGATTTGTGAATGAAGTGTTTGGAGCGTGATTACCATACGGAAGAATCAAAGTAATTGTGCCTTTGGTATCTCTCCAATTGAGAGGTTTTAAAAGTTTAATAAAAAGCAATGAGGTTTGGAATGAAACCGGATCATATCTGCACGGTGACTTGCTTTCATTCAGTCGTAGCTTTGATTCCCTCTCGGGACACATGCTGCAGTTAAATCCAATAGAATGGGAAATGTAGTTAGCATTTTAGCATTTCACGAATAAAAGTCAAAGTGTTTTTGTTGAGATGCCAACAATAAGACCTTTGGTTTAGTTCTACGACATAAACTAAGTCAGTAAATAAATACCCCACTCCTGATAGTCCAAAGCTTCTACAGTATGTGTCATAATAATGGTGGTTGCTAAAAAGTGGCCGAATGAGACTGCTAAACATTATCACGCTAACATTAGCCACCTTTAGCTCAGCGGTGGTGACATGAAGTCCTCTAACCGTGATGTAGCTCGTTTACAGTTTTGAATTAGCTATTGAGTTCAGGCAATTTCATATACACTTCAAAGTGGAAAATATCTTGAGGTTATCCTGTTGAACAAAACCTATGATGACTCTCAGAAATGTGTGTTTGCAACATAGCTTATTTATTGCAATATTCCAAAATCCAATGGAAAAATCCCATCGTTTTCTTTCAGGAAGCCCTTGCCATGTTAACTTCTGTTTACGTCATCACTGCACCACTTTAAAACGTGTCTATCATTTCTCTTCCATCTGCAGTGCATTTTGTATGGCCATTGTTTACCGCAAGAGAAGCCCATGTGAAGAAACACCTCCAAACTTTATGGTCGTGACACAACGGGAAACATAGAGCCAAGATATTTTTAATTAACCCAAGTAACACCGACACATAAAAGCAGGAACTGTACTTAGTGACACTTATAATCACAGTGATATATTTTGCACTCCTTTCTCCCACTATCACGCTCCTGCATACTCTCCTACTCATGAAATTATGCCTGCAAGTGCACACACAAACACACACAAACACACACACACACACACACACACACACACACACACACACACACACACACACACACACACACACACACACACACACACATACACTCACGCACATATGTACACTCATGCTCTCATATGCACATGGAGGCAGCAGCAAACACTGACTCAGAGGCTCAAACACATGGATGA